AATAAGAAGGGAAAAAAATTAATTTAAAAAATAATTTTAAAAAAAGGAATAGGAGGGGAAAATTGGGGAGAGGGAGGTGAGAGATCAGGATCCAGAGGGTGGGCCGAGATAGGGTGGAACTTCGGAAGTAGTTTAAACTTGAAAAATGAGATAAAAGCTCGTAAGCACATAGAGAGGGTAGAAGTACAGGTATCCGTAGCATGCTAGATTAGTAAATGTATGTGTAAATGGCCAACTTCAATGAGGGCATTTCGACATCACTTCAGTAGTTGGTGATAAGGAAAAAAAATTATCTATTGGCAAACAGCGTCTTAGTCTGTGACCCATAGATGGCGCTGCATATGCACGGTTATGTCAAGGAATAGTGGAAGGTTTACGTAAAAGCAGTCCAGTAGGGACGATAAAGCAGGAGAGAAGTCCTTCCATTCGAAGGCATCCGCCTATCGTGAGTAACTGCAAATTGGAAGAAGGGATAGATAAGTGCGGGGGGTCTAGAGAATGTATAGTCAAAAAATTGATGAGATTACGAATGTAGAGTATCCTGAATGACATGGTAGAGGGAAGGTAGCTTCATGAGTAAGTTGGGAGAGTATAGTTTAGAAATTTTGTGAAAGCGAGTCAGACGAGGAGTATAGGGAAGGAAGACTAGCCTTGTACTCGACTATGTATTGGATAATATGAGTAGAAGAATATGTAGGAGGTACGGTGGGTGGAGCTGAAAGAGGGTTTAAGGGGGTGTGAGAGTGGTATGTAGATGTTTTAGCAAGTTAAGGCAAGAGAAGAATTTATCAAGGGCGGAATGGACAGTGAGGTGTCTAGAGGATCGAAACGAAAAGATAGTTAGTGATAGTTTATCGCGCAATGTGTGACGAAACCATCTTTACTGAGAATGTGCCTTGAGAATTTTATTATAGAGAAGCTACGTGAAGGGTGTAGTGTCCGTACGAGTAGAGGATGAGAAACATGGAGTCAAGGGTGGCAGGCCAGCCCAGTGGACGGAGCGAGCAACACCCCCACGTCCGCAGAAGAAGAAGGAAGATTTGGCATTCTTACATACGGAGATGTAGGACATGTGTTTCAAAAAGCTGTTTTTGATAGCTCAAAGTGATGCGAAGTAAATGTGAGGAGATAATGAAAGTCACAGACGTTGCAAATAGGAATTAATAAATCTCTTAGTAGCGTTTGTTGTTGAATTTGGCGCATTTTCTTTATTTTTTCATGAAAGTAATTTGTATCTTCATTTTAGTGAGAGTGTGTAGATTTTGAATAAAAGGCATATGTGCGTGCTAATGTAAAAGTCTTAATGTTGAAGGGAAATTAACAGAATGATGCAAATATTTTTTCACTTTTTTTTAATGATTGTAGGTAAGCTACAGTCATGATGGCTATGATCTCTCAACTGAGGTTACTCAAAACTCCAGTGTTCCTAATAAATCGCTGAAAATTTTCATAGTAGTAACTATGAAACCTAGTTTAATCATAAATGAATGACTAATTATGTGAAATCTTCATAAGAGCTTCCATGTGACATAAGACTATCCTAATGTTTCAAAGTTCTATGGAGAAAAAGAATGTTTAGAAGAATTCCTAGTGAAGAAAAAGTATTCCTCGCGCACTATGACATTTAATCAAGGTCCGTAGAAATAACAGGTTAGCTCACTTGGGGTAAAGAAACGAAAATGAGTTCTCGCTGTCTATTGGCTGTGACGTCACTGAAGTTTTTTCTCCTCAGATCAACATAGATTTTTGCATTGATTTAAGCTGAATGTAAGCTTGTGAGCGACTGTAAAAACTCATTCGTTTTCTTTTTCTCTCAAATATAATTAAATTTATGTAGTATAACGGTTGGTACGCACTGCGCGATTGCATTTTGCACCAATAATGCAGGCAAAATAAAAAATAATCAGCAAAATGTATTATTTCATAGGCATAGAAACTTATAGTGTTTTTTGATTTGATGCAAGTTATTTTGAATTTTCGGGTTACTTAAATTAATTTATTCATTAATATATATAGAAACTTCTATGCATTTTATTAGGTGTATTTAAATGCCAACGGTTTTGAAATATTGTTGTGAATTGTGACAGATGCATATAAATATGCTTTAAATAGTTTTAAATTATGTGTATGTAACTCACTGCATTAATTATTAACTCGTTTTACACATGGAAAAATGGCCATGCAACCAGCCTTTTCTCCAGGAATTGAAGTCAAACCACCAGTGTTCAGCTGAATGGGCCTTCTGTCAGTTACTTAGAATTTGAGCCTATTGTACTGTTAATATGGTACATGCCAGAAATACAATATCATTAATACACGGGGTACATATAAGCAATAAAAAGGACTAACAACACCGCAGAGTACAGAAAGTAACATATTAGAAGTCCACAATACATTTGGCGAGCAAATTAAGTTGTATTATTATACTTAAGGCTATCAGTTCTGGATAATTTAGTTACAGTAATTTTGCAAAGATAGTAAAGCAGTCCCTTAAGCAATATTAATTTTCTAATTATTAAGGCTTTTTTCTTTCATATTATTTGAAAACAGAGTAATACACAGCATGCATTTAAATGCAATCAAAATTTAGGAAATGTATGATTTAAGAATATAGAAACGTTTAAAAAACAAATATGCTAAAATTCTTGTAAAATATAAAATTTCATTTTCTATCTGTACTTATAATTTGTTATGATTTGTATTATGAATGAATAATATAACTTAAGCAAATATTTTATTTATTATAGTTTTAAAATTTGCATTCCATTACTATACAGTGCACCATGATATATTTCATACAAAACTTTCATTTATAAAATTAAGATCCATATTTACTAAGATTTTGTTGAATGTAATGTTTAAAATTTAGTACCAATTTTGACTTCTGCATTTAATTATATAAATTTACCTGCAGAAATGTGCAAAATATATTTGCTAGTATCTTACGAATGTAATCATTATGTCTGTGGGGAATATTGTACACAGGTCATCATATTAAATAAACATCCACCTTTTTTCCATGTGTTCACAGAAAGTACGACTGACAGTCAAATGACGTTAAGATAAACTGCATAATGTTTTTATGAGGACATTTTAAGTCATGAATGGTATGAAACTAATATTTTTCCACAACTAAACTGATAACTCTAATTTTTTTAATTCATAGAATGCTTAAACCGAATATGCTAAATGAAATGTAATATTTAAATTATTATATAAACATATTTCTTTTTTGATACCAAAACAAACACATACAGCATTCAGTCCTATTAATATCTGCCCACCAGCGGCCGAGCGGTAAAGTCGCTAAACACTTGTAGTTCGGTCCGAGGTTCGAATCAAAAAATGAGGATGACAATCCAGAAAATGACTACATGTTTCAATTTCGTTATTATTTTTATAAATTAGATATAATACATAAGTGAAATAATATAGAAACCTAAAGATAAAATTCTAAATATACAATATTAATAACAAAACAAAATAATAGAGGATATGCAACTATTCTTTTAATATCTTTTACTCATTTTTATATAAAAAGTTAACATCTATCTGAATACTTTTGGAAATTTTTATTTTTTATTTTTGCTAAAATGTAAAATTCAAAGAATTAAGATTTAAATTAAAATTAATTCTCAATTTTTATATAGAATTACATAATGCAGCTGCTGATTTTAAAGAGTCTGCTGATTATACACTTCCTTTCAGTTATAGCTTGAATAGTTCATTTGTTTATGTTTCTTGTTGCTGCTTTACATCAAGAAATTACAAACAAGTTTTAGAATCTAGCGACTTATAATTTTATGCAATTTCTTTTTTAATCTATTAAAATTAATCATTATATTACAGGAAAAGCTCATGCGAGTTCATCTGAAAAAAAAAAAAAAAAAAAAGCCACAAGTAAACTAAGATTTCTAAATGAAACAAGTACTGCAAAAACAATTGGACCGAAAGTAGGCTTTAGCAAAAAATTAATTTAAATTTCAGCCAAATTAGATTCCAAACATTAGGGACAAGTTTGTACAGCTTTATAGAATAATATTCTTAATTTGAATTTCTTCTATATCGCTACACTCAGGGCTTAATTTCTAAAATTAGAAGTGCCGGAACCCTATGGGAAGACCGTTAGTAAAGAGGAACAAGAGTAAATAAATAAATAAAATGACTATTAAAATCATTTATCATTTAAAAATTAAATATTTAATTATTATCAAATTAATAAATAATTAGTTAATTAATATTAGCAATTAATATTTATTAATTATTATCTAACCCTTAATTAATAATTGATTATTATTTATTAAAATAATTCAATAAAATGTAAAGAGGTAAATTAACATTTAATAAGCGATTTTTAATATAATTTTATTGCTGCTAAAAATAAAATTTTTGAGATTAAATTTCTACTGAATTTGTAGTTCCGTTAATTGCATAAAAGAAGTGCCGGAGCCTTCTTATGTAAGGGCTCCGATGCGCTCCGGCTAGAATTATCATTTATCCCATGAACTGAAAAGTACCGGAGCCGGCACAATTTAAGCTCTGACTACACTAACATATTTTTCAGTTCTTTGTGAAATGTAGGGTTTTCAGTCTATTGAAGCTAAAATGAGTAACGGTATAAACAGCTGAATCTTGAATAGGCAAATTCTGTAAGGAAGTTTGGAAGATTTTTGGTGAAACAATAAATTACTGAGGGAACTTTTCGTAAATTAAGACTTATTCTATACAGTAAACAATATTTTAGGTAGTTAAGTTTCAACTCCAAATATTAGATTTTTTACTTTTCCGATGAAAAACAGAAAATATTTCAAAAGGAAATACGAAACTACTATTAGGAGATGCTACAGCAAACTTCACTGATGTCACAGCCGAACGAGTCGCTGGCTTTTCGTTTGTTTACTCCAAGTGAGCTAACCAGTTCTTTCTACGGACTTTGACATTTAATAATGTTTTTTCGTAACATTTATTATTTGGCGCATGGCAACAGTGTTATGAACGCTGCCGTTAAAGGCGTGACTAGTGGCTGCTAAATTTTGAAAATGTTGGTCGTGTGTGTTTACATATTTCTTGCTTGTTCAAATTCAGGTTGGTTTTTCTGTGTAATCAGTTTTGTTTATATATGCATTTAGGTATGGGCAAATTGTGCATTAAATAGTTTTTCTGAAGCATCGTATCTTTAAAAAATTATTTTGTTTATATTGCGTTATCTGTTTACTAGATCGATACATTTGATGACTCAAAAGATATTGAATATGACATAATGAAGTTTTCATGTTACGCTAATTTTAATCGATTCTGTCTGATGCTGCGCATTTTTCTTTTTAATTTAATTATGGGAATTATCAGAAATACCAATCATATTCAACAAAATGTTGTAATACTGAATTTCTGGTTATGTTAATTCTGTGTTTTCTGATTGATAGCTCTATAGTTTCGTGTAAAGATTACATACAGTTCTCTCTTCCCCCCCCTTTGTTCTAGTACTAAGAAATAATCAAATTGTGATGGGAGTTTTGTATAAATGCTAGGTTATGGTAGTAATAATTAGGATATTTAGAATTGTTCTCAAAACCTAAATATTATTTACATTGAAAAATTTCATGATGGCTAAAAATTGGTCCTTTGTGGAACTCTGCTTGATCAGAGGATATTTATTTTTAATTCTGGAACAAAATTATTAGATTTTTATAATTCACCCAACCAGTTCATGAAAAAAAAGGGGAGGAATAAATATCAGTTGTTATAAAAAAAATATAGGTATTTGGCAACTTCACTGAATTATGTGATGAATTGTTATTTCTAAAAGAAATGCTTGTTGACTAGGCTTACTATCTAAGATTAAGAAAATTTCTGATGATTTAAAATTGATGTAGTGGTTCTGTATAATGCATTGGTTTGGATTTGTTTAACACAATAAATTTCTGTACTCTTCTTTTATCGGGACTGGATTCAGAAATGTATATGTAAAGAATATACATATTCATGTGAATATACACATGCATACAAGAACACATATATTTATAAATACATGCATATGTACATTATCTTTCTGAACCCAGTCCTGGTAACAGAAGAGTACCTAAATCATCAAGAATCACTAATTTGGAGTACCATATATAAGGAGGCTAAGCAGTTTATTTTGAGAGAAAAGTGACAAATGTGATATTTTACTTCTGAGCCACAAGCTGAAAAGATATACTTTGTAGTACAGATAATTTGTTAACAGTTATTTTAATTTTAGGAGATTTAGATAAAGTGAAAAAAATAACACATAATTTTAACTCAAATGTAGCAACTTAACATGCAAAAAAAGGAAGTGAAATCTTAATCCTCCATTCAATAAAAGAAAAAACAAAAAATTCCTGTAAAAATGAAAATTAAAAAAAAAAATAATTATTGATATATTTATCATGGAGTGTTAGGGTAGCATATTGTATATGGCAAAGTAAAAGAGGTATCTGCTTGAGGGTTGGCAAAGGCATGGGCATGATTTTCCCACTAGAAAATTGGCTTGTATTTACATTACACATGATAATGATACGTTTTGTGTAGCGGGATTCATTTTTATATCCTTTATAAAAATCCAAAAGTATTTCGGTACTTTACAGAATTATGATAAAATGTCTACTCTTTAAACCGGAGCTATATCATAAATTTTAGACAGCTACAAAATTGCTGTTTAAAAATTTAAGGATTATATTTGTCTTTAATCAGCTTATTCTTTCGTATAAAAATAACGGAAATAAACAAAATCTCAGTCGTGATCATAACAAAGCCAGAGAGACTTGTTGGTCTGACCTTTGGAATAGGTTTATAAAAAATGGTCTCTAACTTTTCTGAATTGAAATGTGCAGCTGTTATTGACATGAAGTTACCCCTAGTACAGTACAAAGTCCTTAATACGGACTCATCGGGGACTTCGGCGATTCCGGATTAGGGTTTTTTCCGAATTATAGATCATCAATTTAAATCTGGTAAGATGGCATGCAGAAATTATACAATTAAAAATATGAAATCGTAATTTATGAAATAAGAACAATTATGATCTAAAGGGTATCAAAATTTACAAAAAACAAGTTTAATATTTATTTGTTTACTTTATTAAACATTTCTTTCAATGTAAGTTGTTTAAGATGCTTCCTCAAAAAGTTCCTTTTTTTTTGTGTCATGTATAGTAGACTTTCCAATGCCATACTTCTCGCATAATTTTGAGACAGATAGGCCTTTATCCATTTTTTGCAGCAATTCCACTTTTTGTTTAAAAGACATCAAAACATGCTTTCACTTTGTAGATCCTTTGGCAGTTCCAGAATTGGAAACTTTTTTACATAATCGAAAGTTCAAGCTTAATTTTTATAAAATTGTTCTAACAGTCTGCAAAAAATAATAAGCCGGATCCAATTAGAAGATTAAGGAACAGCACAATCTGCAACGTTAACTGAAATGGCTCAGATAATTTTAGCCTGGCTTATACCGTCTGTTATAAAGTAAACGCACATGCGTAAACGTATTATGCGACAGAAGTTTGTAGCTTTGAGGTCCGGATTATAGATCATTCTGGGTTATGGACCTCTGGATTACAGACTTTGTACTGTATATAGAAATCATTTCACTGTAAAGTACAGAATTGTATATGCTATGATGTGAAAGTTCAGTTTGTCGAAAAATTTGCAATCTGTTAGCTGTAGAATATTGTAGATTTGTTTTAAATATTTTTTTTATTATTTGAATTATAGTCCACAAAAATTTTGACTTTGCTGAATGTTTAGCTCTTTATTTCTACTGTGGCAATAATTTCATTTGATACAAATTCAATCAAAATAAGCTTTTAACTACATGTTATGTTTGATTGAAAAGTTATAGTGTTAGAGTTTGATATTTTTAATAATTATTAAGGGGAATAATTTAATAATGTAGGAATGCCAATTGGTGCTTTAACATTGACATAATAGAAAGAATTATGACTGACTACAGTCAAAAGTCGTTAATCCGGAATGATCTATAATCCAGACCTGAAAGCTACAAACTTTCTGCGCATGTGCTTATGCATGTGCGTAATACTTTTATGCATGCGCATAAACATGCATGCATGCGCTTTTAATGTATAACAGACGGTATAAGCTAAGCTAAAATTATCCAAGCTGAACCCTTTAGTTTAGTTTTAGAGAATAAGTTCCAAAAATAATTTTCAGTTATTCCAATATTATTTCAGTTGAATGTTGCAGATTGCTTTGTTCCTTAACTTTCGAATTGGATCCAGCTTATTATTTTTTGCAGACTGTTAGAGCAATTTTATAAAGGTAAGCTTGAACTTTCGATTATGTCAAATAGAATTTCCGATGCTGGAGCTACCAAAGGATCTACAAAGCGAAAGCATGTTTCAATGTCCATCAAAAAAAAGTTTAATTGCTGCAAAAAAATGGATAAAAGCATATCCTTTGTTTCTCTAACCATTCCGAAATCTGTTTATCAATTTCACGCTGCTCTGCGGGGAAGGGGAACGTTGTGGCGTGCATTGAACTGGAAGTTGATTTATCAGCACTATCCTTATCTTCAGGGCAGATGTTTTTATTTTATTCGGCTTATAATTCATTACTAAATGTAGTATTTCATCTCGATGTTCTCTGTCTTTGATATGACTTAAATCAAATTCATTATAAATATCACGAATACGCATCAAATAGTTTTCTGGTTGCAATTTTCTAATTTCGAGTATGCGTAATGTATGCTTTACGCATGCGCACGTTGAAAGAAATGTTTAATAAAGTAAACAAATAAATCTTAAGGTTTTTTTGTAAATTTTGATACCCTTTAGATCATAATTGTTCTTTATTTCATAAATTACAGTTTCATATTTTTAATTTTATAATTTCTGCATGCCATCTTACCAGATTTAAACTGATCTATAATCCGGAATCGCAGAAGTCCCGACGAGTCCGGATGAAAAACTTTAGACTGTATTAATATGTGAAACATTTTGTGTACTTGATTATAAAAGATATATTTTTGCTTTAAAATTATGCTCAAAGTTTTATCATTCAATATAAATTAAAAGTGCATACAATAGTTATTTGAATTATGAATTGTTAGATCATATTTTTACTGTCACATTTACTTTTTTTCCTTTCAGTGACAGCTCAAAGGAGCCCCACAATAAAATATATTTCGAAAGAGAAAGTTGTAAATATTGGAGACACGGTTGAATTAGAATGTGGTCTTGAGTATGCAAAAGATTATTCAGTAAGACTTCATTGTGAACTTTGCTTATTTATTTTAAATTTTGGAATTTAAATCGTGTATTTTTCTAGAATGAGTAAATATTTTATTTTATTTTTTTCATTTTGTTATGTGAAATTTAAAAACTGTAAGAATACTGTGCTTTCATTTTTCTTTTTACTTTTAGAACTTAATTTAAAAAAAAAAAAAAAAATTATTTATTTATTTTGAGAATACACAATTGTGCCGTACAAAATCAGATTTCGTCTAAAGTCTGTATATACTTACATTTTATTTAATGTTTTCTAAAATTATTCAAGAACTTGAACAATGGAAATTAGCACTTATTTTTTAATTTTTTCTTCATATTCATTTGTATATTTTAAGAGTTTTGCAATAGAAAAATTTGTTATATGTATTTTGTATAAATTAAATTGCAGTATATATGTTTTATTTTATTTTTAAAAACTTGTATTTATCGCAGATATAATTTAAATAAAAATTTGTAATTATTAAAGATTGTTATAAGATTTTTGAGCAGATCTTCTTTCCTTACTTTACTGGATGATCACTTTTTTCCCTTGTTTGATTGTCAGATTAAACATATGCCTCTCTCATAAAATTGTTCTGCTCTGTAACTATTTTTGCAAAGGCTGAATTGATTCTCATGTTATTTAATCAGTGGCAGTTTCTCTACCAAATAGTACAATTCAACACTTTTATAAATGGTATTCTGAACCATTTGTCAGAATCTATGCTTCTTTTTCACATTGTTGCTCGAAATGCTTTCATCGATGTATAGATTTATTTTGTGGTCATGCAAGGAAAATTTCTTGGAAGAATCATATAGCATCTTCCTCACTCCTCGGTAAATTAAATATTATTACAGTAATTGAAAAAGCTTTAATATGTGACCTACTCGAACTCTTCTTGTGGCAAGTGAATAATAAGAAATTGTGAATTGTTAAATTTTTCCTTAAAGAAAAAAAAAAAAAAGATTACAAAAATATGTTGGCCACTCATGATGAACAAGCTAAAAGTAATCCTGGTAAGGACTGCCAGCCCGTTTGGCTGTGGTTTGCAATATATGTGAAGACTATCGATGCTTTTGAGGCTATTTGAAAAATGATGGTCATAAAAATAAGCAAGTACCATTAATTTTAATATTTGTATAGAACAAATTTCTTTCAAAAGTTGATAGTTTTAAATATTATGTCTTGAGATTAAAATCAGCATTATAAAGAACTGATTTTAAAATTATATATTTCTCAGTATTTTCGGATTATTTCCACCTCAACTGAAAACTGTGAATTCATTACCGACTATTTTTTCACGTAGCTAATGCAGGAAAAGCAGCAGTCATTTTGAAAATGGAGGCATTTCCATGTAAAAGCAATCAATCAATAAAATTTAAAAAGCAAGAACCATTAGTAATAAAACACGTACCATTTTAGCGAAATCTTTCTTTTTTGTGTTATGTACACAGTGATCTGTTTTCGCTTTAAGACATCAGAGAATTGTACAAACTTGACACCATGCATTGGCTAAAACAGAATGTGCATACCTGGATTACGACATAAATGCTTTTTGGTGGCACACTGCTTTGCCTCATGAATACTTTTCCACAACTTTCAATGGGGGTGTGGATAATCAGAAACTATGTTTTTTTCTCATTCAGAGTTTTCTTTTGTAGACTGTGTGGGTAAGAAGGACCACTGAAGATGCAGATCGTCTTTTTATTGCATCTGGCACTAGTCAAATAGTTCCTGTAGACAGGTATTCCGTTCGACATGATGATAAGACCAATACCTACATTTTAAAGGTAAACTTCTCTTCTTTTTTTTTTTTTTTTTTTTTTTTTTTTTTTAAATAATAATAGTGTAATTTTTCTTGACTGTTTTATCTGTTACCTAAAAGCTGAATGCATATACAATAAACTCTTGTTAAAATATGCATGTACAATCTATATTTATTATTTGTACTTGTTGAGGATCCAGGCATATTCAAGGATGTGTTTTTTAAAATGTTAAATTTTAGTGTAAATGAATTCCTCAAATATATTTTTAGTTAATCAGTAAAGCTTGTAAAGGTTAACACCCCCTCCCCATGAATGTAGGTTAGCAGTTTGATAGTGAACAGAAATCTTATTTCAGGCATAGTACAATATACAAAAGTCTTTAATCCGGACTTGTCGGCACTTCGGCGATTCTGGATTATAGATCATCAGTTTAAATCTGGTAAGATGGCATGCAGATTATGAAATTAAAAATATTAAACTGTAATTTATGAAATAAAGAACAATTATTATCTAAAGGGTATCAAAATTTACAAAAAAAAAAAAAAAGCCTAATATTTATTTGTTTACTTTATTAAACATTTCTTTCAATGGAAGTTGTTTAAGTTGCTTCGTTTTATGTGATAATACTTTCTCTTTAATTCTATAAACAGACATAATTTCTTCTTCAGTTACAAAGTTCTGCTGTTCAAGTCTTATAATTGCTGTGTCAAGAATACCGACTAATTTGTCAATCGAAATTCTTTCATTTTCTATAACCTCTGTGTCGCTTTCTTCACTATCAGAAGGGAATTATAATGATGAGGAATTTGATTTAAATCATATCAAAGACAGAGTTCATCGAGATGAAATACTACAATTAGTAAGGAATTATAAGCCAAATAAAAAAAAAGTCTGCCCTGAAGATAAGAATAGTGCTGACAAATCAACTTCCAATTCATTGCGTGCCGCGACGTCCCCCCGCCCGACAGAGCAGCGTAAAATTGATAAACAGATTTCGGAATAGTTAGAGAAACAAAGGATATGCCTTTTATCCATTTTTTGCAGCAATTCCACTTTTTGTTTGATGGACATCGAAACATACTTTCGCTTTGTAGATCCTTTGGTAGCTCCAGCATCGGAAATTCTATTTGACACAATTGAAAGTTCAAGCTTACCTTTATAAAATTGCTCTAACAGTCTGCAAAAATAATAAGCCGGATCCAATTCGAAGATTAAGGAACAATCCAATCTGCAACATTAGCTGAAATAGATAATTAGATAATTTTAGCTTAGCTTATACCGTCCGTTATACCTTAAACACGCATGCGTAAAAGTATTATGCACATGCGTGAACGCATTATGCATTAACACGCATGCACAGAAAGTTTGTAGCTTTTAGGTCCAGATTATGGGTGTCCGGATTAACGACTTTTGACTGTATATGTTTTGAGGATATTAGTTTTAGAGCATTATTGACTTTTAATAATCAAGTATAAACATCTTGAAATGTATTATACTCCTATAGCATATTCGTTTTAAATCTGTAATAAATTAAGATGTTTTTTAATAAAGCATTAAATGGTGTAACAGCAAATTTAAATAAAAGTAGTTAAAAGTATTTAAAAAAAAAGAATAAGAAAAGAAGACAGGAAAAGATTTAGATTTGGATTTTGTATGAGGGTTTTTTTCTTTATCCTCTCGCTGAGTTTGTAGTTTACCAATCTGCTGTTGGACTTACTCCTCCTAGTACAACTTTTTTTTTTTAATTTTATTATTAATTATACTTTCTTTATAGTTATACTGCAAAAATTCAACAGTAATTACAAAATTTTTTTGAAAGCACCATATTCTTAGATTTCTCAATGAATTGTTGCCATATATATTTTTTTTTCAGTCTTTTATTTGTTTATCATACCAAAGTTAACTTTTTGCCTTTTTAGCTGTATTTATTTGAATTTACTCTTCATAAAATTCAACAACAGAATAACATCATATTTTGAAATAACGTATTGGGATGGACAAACTACTGCCCGCCGGAGGACTATCCGACCCGCAGATAGAATTTTAATTTGCCGTTCTTAAGGCAAAATTAAAAAAAATATATGTTTATACATTATGTATCCATCTCCTTTCATGCTTTGTTTGAATATTACTTTTTTCTTCCTTATTTTCAAAGGACGGATGATCTTTTTACTTTCTCTGTTTTTCTTTTACAAAAAACAAAAATCGACGGAAATAGCAAGCACAAACAGCTTTTAATCGTTAAAGTGTTAAAAGCGGAAGTTTTTTGTTAGTTATAGCTGTAGATTGGCGCCAAGAATCGTTATCTCTTTTTCAGGGAGAAGACATATGGGAATCCAAGGTAGGTGAATTAGACTTCACATGTGGCAGACTGTGCATTTTAACTTCCAGCCAGCAGCTTTTTCTTTTGGTGCAAGTTCTAATATTATTGATTGTGTATGGAAAGATTGTAGACATATAGCATCACTGTGAATATTGGTGAAATTGTTAAAAGTATAGCGTAACTAGTGCTTGTTTGGGTTATTCATAAAATATTTCAACTCCAAAATGGTTACTAAAAAACGTAAAGTTGATTCATAATGCTGTGCTTTTAATGATGAATGGACCTGGAAATATTTTTTTATAGTTGTAAAAGATAAACCAGTCTGCAATGAAGCTGTAGCAGTTCTTAAAGAATATAACGTTTCTCGTAATTTCACATCTAAGCATAAGAATTCCAATCAGGAAGCAGTATCCGAATATGAAAGAAAACAAAATGCAGAAAGTCTTTGTAAAAAATTATCAGGTTGACAAATTTTTTTAAAGAAACTAAACTGTATCCAAGAAGCAGCTATACATGCAATGGGGAGTTCGTTGAACAATGCATGCTCCAAGTTTGTGATTTTTTATGTCCAGACAAGAAAAATAAATTTTAGACTGTAAGCTTATCTCGAAAAATGGTGACTTCTAGAATCGAAGACATCGATAAAAATTTGACATCATAATTAGAGTGAAAGATTGGCCAGTTTAAATTTTACTCCATAGCTATGGATGAAAGCACTGATATAAATGATACTACTTACTCGATTGAGTTGGTGAAAACTTTGAAATTACTGGGGAACTGGTGTGCATGTGTTCTTTAAAGGGAACTGCAATAGGATGTGATATTTTTTGTGAATATCAGGAAAGGCTTTTAACTTTTGAAAGTGCCTATAACAAATATATTTAATATTACGACCGATGGAGCGCCAAATATGACAGGAAAAAAATCTGGATTTCTTGGATTCTTTAATCAAAACTATCCCGGGAAAAAAGTGTTTTACATTGTGTCAAGATGCTTTGTGTAAATCTGCATTGAATATGAAACCCGTACTTGATGCAGTCGTGAAGCTTGTAAATACTATTCGATCTCGTGGGCTTATTCACAGGCAATTTCGAGATTTTCTTCAGTCCGTCCAACCTGAATACTCTGATGTACTGTATTACACGAAAGTAAGGTGGCTTAGTGCAGAATGTGTTTTTGATCAAGTTTGGCAGCTGAAAGACGACATTACGTCTTTCTTCCATGAGAACAGTCTTCTGCAGAGTGTGAAATGTTAGAAGATACAGAATGGCCTTTGGACTTTGCATTTTTCACAGATCTTCTTTGTCATATGAGCAACTTGAATGTCAAGATGCAAGAGAAAAGTTGCAATCTAACAATCATCTCAAACAGTTGTTTCTAAATATACCAATGTTAGAATATTACAAATCATTATCGAAAGTAAGTTTCCCAAATTTAATATCTCACGCCCAGAAAATCAGTGCTATGTTTGCTTCATCTTATATATGTGAACAAGTGTTTTCAACAATGAACCTTAGAAAGAATTATTTCAGAAGTAGGCTGACAGATGAGCATTTAGCCTCATTCCTTAGAATCAGTACATCTCACTTCGAAGCTCAATATAAGGAACTTTTAAAAATGAAATCACAATTTCATTCATTGCATTAACATACTTAAATTGTAATACTTGTATATTGTTTTTAAAATTTCAGAAAAATTTATCTTGGTCTGCCTAACTTTTTTTTTTTTTCGATTTTTGGTCCGCGATCGAAAAAGTTTGCCCATCCCTGGGATAGAGTATTAAGTATTACCATACAGTTTATTATTTCTTTAAAAATAATACGTGGCAATAACATTTGGTTACAACATCCATTCTATTATTTGAAAATTGATAGAATCGAGACGAGTAGAATCTCTTGTGCTAATAATATTTATACATAGGGCATATATAAAATTAATATAACTTGCTTTTTGAAATTAGTCAAAAACATTTATAAGATTATATGAGTAAAATAAAAATAAATATGTTACTATTTAATATAAATTTATTGCATGGTTGCTTTGTCTGTGCATTTGATATTATGTGTATAACTTGGCAAAACTGCAGGTGTACAAAAGAGAGCATGTTATAATATCAGTGACCTGGTAATATTGCATGTTCAATTTTCCGTGACATTTAAAGTTTTGTATTAGTAAACAGAGAAATGTATCAAAATGATATACAGTCAAAAGTCGTTAATTCGGACACCCATAATCCGGACCTCAAAGCTAAAATCATTCTGCGCATGCGCATAGGCATTTTACACGTGTGCGCAAGACATTTACGACTGCAAAATATGCGTTTGCGCAAGCGCAGAATACGTTTTCGCGTGCGCGTTTAATGTATAACGGACAGTATAAGCTCTAATTATCTATTTCAGTTAATGTTGATGATTGCGTTGTTCCTTAATCTTCGAATTGGATCCGGCTTATTATTTTTTGCAGACTGTAAGAGCAATTTTATAAAAGTAAGCTTGAACTTTCGATAATGTCAAATAGAATTTCCGATGCTGGAGCTCCCAAAGGATCTAGAAAACGAAAGTATGTTTCGATGTCCATCAAACAAAATACGAATTGCTACAAAAAAATGGATAAAGCCATATCCTTTGTTTATCTAACCGTTCGGAAATCTGTTTATCAATTTCACGCTGCTCTGCGCACGGGGGGGGGGGATGTCGCGGCACGCTATGAACTGGTAGTTGATCTGT